ACGTGAAATTAAATCAATGATCTTAAATGCTAAATGCAATTTATTATTATAGGAGGCTTTTCCGCAGATCTCAGCAAGACTGAGAAGTTCTCTAAGAACGGTACAGGTCAGTTCGACGCCAACGTTTCGACGCCAACGGTTCGACGCCAGCGTTTCGACGCATGGTCAATTCGACGCGAGGTCAGTTCGACACCATACTTTTTTTGATTTTGTTTGACGCCATACTTTTCGTATTTTTATTTTTTTAGAATAAGTTTGCATCATCATTCAAATAAATTTGGTGTCATCATCATTTGGTGTTTCACATCCCACATTATGGGAACTCATAGATGGTCTCACGTGTGTTCAAAAATGAATTGATCAATGTTATGAACAATTTGTACGTGGAGATGAACCGCGCCACAAGCGGAATCTGCGATCTGATATGAGAATTAAAGTAATAGTTGAAGATTTTGAAAATCGAGAAATAATGGAATACCTGAAAGGTGTGGGGCATAACTTTGCAATGGATTAGTATAATAACAGTTCTGTGATGTAATCTTATTTATCTCTAATCTTATTTATGTGTAATCTTATTTACCTGTAATCTTATTTATCTGTAATTATATTTGCCTGCAATATAATATAACTACTTCGTAACCATATGTTTATTTACCATTTGTGTATTTTGTCTTTTTGAGGCTGTTTTGTGAAATAAATAAATAAATAAAGCCCTCCCTCATGTCCCGGGGCCTTGACGCTGGCAAGGGGGCTTCTTACTAATCTGGGACACAAACAAAAATCTAGAACACTTTCACACATATATTTATTTCAAATATGCATGTAAACAATCGCTAATTCAATAAATAAAAATCAGTCATATTACTTATTTATATTACTTCATATTTATTCTAAAAATAAATAAAAATACTAAAAAATATGGCATCGAAACATGCGGCGCCGAACTGCCCCGGGGTCGAAACGTTGGCGTCGAACCGTTGGCGTCGAAACGACCTGCTTCGCTCTGAGAAAGGAACGAGTGTTGGAATCCATAATGCTTCGAAAGATGTCCACTGAAAACAAGGATCATCAGAGGAGTTTTCCCGTGTTTTGCAGAGCTTTCATAGCTTGAAGGCGTGGAAATTTCTCGTGTTTAATGATTTGTTAGACTTTTTCAGAGGTCGATGACTTGAAATTCATTTCCTTTTTGTTGAGCTTTAGGGATATTCACCAATTTAGGCAGTTTCGCATAATCACGATAAGTCGCGAGGTATGATTAATTGGCATGACAAATAAGTAGGTTTCTCTTCTTTCTTCCACTCACGTGTGTAAGTGAAAGGATTTGAAGCACCTTCGAGTGCTGATCGATTCGAGTTGTGATCCAAGCTGTCTGTGGCTCCAGTTATATGCGGACACCTGGCTTTCAACCATTTAAAGATAGGGTTACGCTTCTTCTTAGAAGTTATACTGATTTTAATTAAAACCTTTTTTCATTTACTGTTCACAAAACCGTAGAGCTTTAAAAATACCGACAAGAATAAATTGCTATTTTTCTACAGAAATAATCCCAAGGCTTGGATGAGAGTTCTGTTGAAGATGTGTTCTGATATTGTTTTATTCCATAAGTACGTGCCTAATATTATAAAATGGAATGGGTTTATCCCACTGTTCCTAAAAGACTCCTCCTTTTAAAATTTTGTTGTTGCTTGGTTATTTTGTTGCAAGGCTTTGAAAGGCTTTGAATGTTTTAGAGAAAGAGCTCTTGGCAACGACACCTGCAATTTATGTTCTATCACCCAATTCTGCTGTCTATATTCCGGCTTCAACCTTTTTGCTAGTCGATGCTAATACGCGCCATTACAGTTTTGAGTCTGCTTAAGTAGGCCAGTTTGTGTTGTCTCTGATTACGATAGCTTTAATTTGAAATTTCAGCTTTTGTTCGCAAGTGGCGGAATTTATTTGTATGCATAAGTTGTATTTTCTCTTCATTTGAATAGTTAACAAAAGGGTTATATAAAACCATTTTAAGACAGTTATAATATTTCAGACGAAGAGATAATTCGCTTGTCAGTGCAATAGGTATGAAGGACTTTGAGTTAATACTGCACAAATAGAATATCATGTAGCTTATCAAAGCATTTCACTTCTTCCTACTTAAAGTTTTAGGTAAACGTTAACACGTAGCTTTCAGAATTACAGCTGAAGAAACTCATTAGCGATTATAGTAGTTTACTTTAAAATCTGTCGATTATCATTTTTTCAGTCTCATATTGTTACGTTCGCACGGGGTTCCTGTAGATTTGAAGTAAAAAATTCCTTGTTCCTGTAGATTTGGATGAAGTATCGACATACATATTATTTAGCCGGTATTATCAGGACAGCTCCAAAACACGTGTTTACAGTCGTCGAAGATCTACTATAAACTCGCTGGAACAATCAGCGACACAGCCTTCACACTGTCAGGCTATCACGGAGGAGACCGCTTCACTGCAAAGCGCCAGAATACAGGTCCTGACTCTGCTTGGTCGTTCTCAGAACTACACGTACTCTCGAGACTCTCCACGCTACAACTCACGATGCACTCGACGACACACAGAGCACAGCTCCCGACTCTTCGGTTCAGCCGTTCTCGGATCTCAAAACGCTCTCTCAAACGATGCACTAACCGCGATACACTAAGAGACTCTTCGATGCACTCGACGACTCACTCGGCACTTGCAGGCCGGCTGTCAACTCGATCGTCTCCGCACGGACTAACTAGATGAGACACACTAACTATCTCGCACTCTAGACGAGGCACACTCTCACTGGCTGTGGACCAGCAGGGTTTATATAGTTTTGGCTTGTGTTCGAGAACATTCTGGGTAAACCAGTAAGAATTCGTTCCAGAAAGTTCTCCATCCGTCCATGGCATATCGCCAATTTTGCCGCCAAATGGGCGAATTCTCTCCAAATGTGGCAATCCTGCCTTCCTTGCTATTTTATGGCAACTCTCAAACTGCTTTGCGGGGAAGTCATCTTACCGGCCTGTACATTTCGTAACAATATTGTTGTACTCGAAATGATTTATTTGCCATTTTATTATATTTTTTTATAATTACAAACGAATTAAAAAAGAAATGCACATTTTTAAGATTTTGCAGTTTATATAAAAAGCACTAACACTAATGTACGATACATACGCTGTTTTAATTTGAATTTAAAAACCCGCTACATATAAATGTGACATTAATTAAGAATTTCTTTCGAGTTATAAATTTTAAAGTTTATGCGATATTAACAGTTCATTAAAAAAATTGCGTCACTTCTTTTTCAGCAATTCACGTGCAAGTAAGTAGAGATTTTTTATTATCCAAGAATAACTATCCTGGCAAGGATGTCTTTGTTTTTTTCCCGAAGGTTGCGTCTAGAAGCCTTTAGTTAAAAATAGTGCTAAGAGAAACGCTTTTCTCGGAAAAGGTTTTTCGTTGTTTTGAGCATCAGGAAATCTGATAAAACCATAAAAATCGGGAGACGAAGAAAATACAATGCAGCCAGTCTTTCAACTGGCTGGAAACGAGCTGGTGCGAAATATTAGTTTTCAGTGTAACGGAGTAAGAGGGTATTTAACATCTGAGGGCTCATTCCAATCTTTTAGGCTAGCTAGAAGAAAATTTCATAAACATAAAATGACTAGTTGCTATTTACACTTAATATTGTTTCTAATTCTATAAAAATAAAGGATATTATTTACAGTTTTATGCTACTTATTATACATTTTTGGCTTCTATGAATATGAGAGAAAATAATAAAGGCAGAATAATTAACTGCTAAAACAAAGGTGACTGAAATTGTTAACATGTTATATAAACGTTGCGTTGTCTCATATGCTAACTTGTATTTGCCTTCCAAAGTTTGTGTCCGAATGTTTTCCCCCTTTCATTTCTCAGTGCATACAGATTTAGACCCACTCCAAAAAAGCATGAATAACAAGCGAATATTGTTGTCAGTATAGAGCAAAGTTAAAGAAATTTTTAAAATTTAATACCTCAAATAGCATATTTTTTTTACAATGAATTACTTAACGTTACGCTCGAGATATTGTAAAAAACACACACGCGCAAATCTGAGCTCGGAGAAAGATTTTTTTCTTAATATAGGAATCGGAGATTATCTAATTATGAAGAAAGAAAGGTAATAACTGAAGTTACTATACAGCATATTATTATTTTATTTTTAAAAGCATTTTAGCAAACAACTTCAGTTGTATACCAACAAGTTTTAAATGTAAAATTCTTCGAAAATGTTGATCGTGAAAATCGAGGAATGGTTCGATAGCTGCTCGAATGAGCCGTACTTTCAATGCTTGAGCGATGCGGATATCGTTTCAAATGTCACAAGAAGAGAAGAGGCAGAGCGTGATACTGGAAATACAAATGAAAAGGATCTTCACAATTCATTGCATCAGTTCCGAGACAGCAATGGCTTATGTTGAAACCCCCAATGTATTACACTATTGGACTTCGTCGATGAGAGGGGATTCGAATAAAATAATAGTGCTTCGAAAAATACGAAGTGAAATCTCCCAGATAGTTAAGCTTTCTGAAAAACAAAGTAATTACTGAATTTTTAAATATATAAATGCATACAATATATATGAAAATCCATAACTTGGATTATCCGTGTTTTTCAGCTATGCGTGACCTGCTTCCCGGATAATCGAGCTCGGATAATCGAGATTATACTGTATTTCATACCTACGCATTGCAGTGAAATGTGATGGAAGAAAAGTACTAATTGAGTGATTAGAAAGCAAAAACTATATCGTATCTTTCTTACAAACGAAAACCTGTTGAAATACAAGAAAAACATACGAATAATATATCATTGTTAGTAAATTTATCTGTGTATATAAATATAAAATGAAAAGAAATAGACGACAGTTTCGTTAAAATGTTTCGCTAATACGTTTCGATATGTAATAAAGATGGAAAGGGATTAAAAGTTCAATGAAAATTAAATATTAAATACGCATTACTCACATAAATTCCGGATAATTTAACTTCACGGCTAAAAGCGTTAAAACTTTATTCTTGATAAATTCTTCTTATAGAGTAGAGGTTATATTCTCTAAGCAGATGTTCTATTACTTTTCCTCTATTTTACCTGAAGTTTTCAACATTTGGCATATTTACCCGATGCGATATGTCAAAAACGAGTTACTGGTACGCGAAATGTGAATAAAATGCCATTCCGTTTCAGCGCATGAGCATAAAACTGCATATTTAAGGCGAGATTTATTTTATCTTTCCTAGACTTCTGTGAGTATATATATGTCAGAAACACAGACAATGTCGAGAAAAGGGTAGATGAGCCAAGTGTCTATTTCAAGTGAATATCTAGGAAGGTTCCCAAACTATCTACTTAAAAAATATAATTAAAGTATTATTTAAATATGAAATTAATTAATTTACTTTATCATCTTCCTTTACATATATTATATCGAGTTGCAGTGACATTTAGTATATGATTTCTTTGTTATGTTGTTGCACATAAATCCCTAGAAGATGATTAAGGGGAATTCAATGTGTTAAACAATACCAACTCAATGAATAACTATCAAATTAATAGCATTAATTCATTCTTAAAAATGCTGAGACTTATTTTCACAGGATTATAGGCACGGTTTTTTAACACGAAGCACGTATGCACATTCGTGAAGTATTTTATCGGAGTTAGTTAGGTAATGAAGTAACAAATATTTTTTATTGAAGTCTAGTTTTGTTCTATGTTTTGTAGAACTTTCACCAGAAATGTTTAGATTTGAAAATTATACAGTTTCATTATTTCTAAAATTAGAAACAGCGACACCAGAAATGTTTAGATTTGAAAATTATACAGTTTCATTATTTCTAAAATTAGAAACAGCGACACGTTTAAAGATTAATTGTGAATAATATTTCGATCTATGATATTTGAATTTGCATGCTACCTTGATAATATTTTTGCGCTATCATTTACTATAGCTGTAGGTAAAAGAAACTTCAGAAAACTTAAAATAACAATTATAATACCCGAGATTTTTCCTTCATCAAGAAAAACTGTCAAACGTAAGCTATCTTTTGAATAAAAATTAAGGAATTAAGTTGATTACAAATACTGGTGATTTGGTTTCCTTAAAGGTAAAAATATGTTTATTATTAAATAATAAAACAAGTAAAAAGTTAAGGCCAAATGTTTGTTGTACTATATCTATGCAAAGTATTATTTTAATTGAAATTTGAATAATTTTTTATCACTTTTAAAATATAAAACCTTTTATGTAGCATTTTCATGAAATTTAAAAATTAGTGTTAAAATTATTACAAAACATTTTAAAATTCATTAAATAAAATCGAGACGTTATACTATAGTATAGATAATCTATACATTTGCTTTTGCATTGTATATATGGAGTCACACATGGATATTTTTGCCTCTGATGAAGAAATGTGTTGCCCAGGAGATGTGTAATAGTTCTTTTAACGTTTTAATAAATTTATGTTTCGTGTAAAGCCAATAGAATATATGACTGCCTGAATATTTTATTTTCAGTTTATTTTACCTTAAATTTTAATTATCAATTATTTATCAAACGAGGTTTTTACATGCTGTTGAACATTTTATTAAATTTGATACTATTAGAATTACATAACTGAAATTCGCAGATGACGGTATATTAGTTGTATCTCAGCTAAGTACTTAAAGAGTTTGCCTCTGCCTATATTGCATAACGCAGAGACAAAAAGATCTACAGCTGTGAAATTCAAAGCACAGTTTCCCAGGGAGGTCTGCGCAAAACTCGAAGCAAATTTTTTTTTTTTACATTTGATTTCGGTTTTTGCTTTTAAGGTAGATGCGATTTCCTACGTATCATTTTTTAATGATCAAAGTAAGTTTGCAGAATTTCAGTCTTTGCACCAACTGATAGATCCGAAAATAATCTTCCAAATGAAACTTATTTCGAATCAACAACTTCATTTACCGATATTTTTTATTTGTCAAACTTTTCAAAATCTTTTTTTTTTTTTTTTTTTTTCTAATGTAATACCAAAATTTTCAAATTAGGAAATCATCGGAAACACTTTGGGCACAGTCTTAAAATTTTGACAAATTATCAGAGCGCCTCTTCAGCCTCTTTAAAAATAAATAAATAAATAAATAAAATAAATAATAAAATAAATAAAATAAAAAATACTAATTTGGCAATTTTTTACAATTTTTTTTAATATACAATTTCAGTTTCAAAACTTACGGGAAGTACGGGCTTTGTCGTGAGTCTTATCGAATATTTCCTTTTAATAGAAAACAGAAGTTTTCTTTCTTTTTCATCATTAATCCCCTCCCTGACATCTAGAGATTTTCCCAACATATTATATAACGTTGTCCTCTAAAAATAGTTTTCTCTTTGTGTTCAAATTTTTGTTGAATGCATTTCCATATACGTAAAGCCTAAATTTTGAATAATGAAAGACAAAATATACTTTTGATGTGAATTGAAGAGGATAATGACGGAATTTCCGTTACTTTAATGAACTTATTATTCTGGCGAAAATAAGCCAAAATACCAGTTAGTTTACTTATATGGTGATCATGTTGAAGGTGAAATAAAAGCAAATAAATAAGAAAAAGAAAACTAACTATTAGAAAATCTCAAAACTATAATATGCAGTAGAATCCCATTTATCACAACCTTTCTATTTCGGGATCCAATCCGGATAATCAAAAGGTCCGATTACTGAACAGCAAGTATAAGACTTATTTCAGGTCGGCAGTGCATAATTTCAATGGCTTCTCTGAAGAATATTTTTCTCCCTTCACATTTTAAATTATATAACAGTTTTGTTAAACTGCAAATCTGAATTTATTATATTGCTTTGTCACGAATGAAAGTCTAATTTTTTTTGGGCTTTGTGCGTGTGTGTGTCGGGAGGGGGAGATAATATTTACATGAGACAGTATAAGTCTAAATAGATCAGATTCTCTTGTAGGTCCAACGATTTTATAGCTACGTTATTCAAATGTTTCGGAAGTGATTGTTATAACCTATTAAAATTAATTAATGCAGTTTAGCTTTTTATTTATGGAACACTAAGCGCACCTTTATAAAAGCATAAATTATTTATATTTGAAACTTTTTATTCAGGGGGCTCGCACAGCTTAAAGCCTTTAAAATCTTCAAATATGTGACTGTTGCAAGAATTGGTATAACTTATTTACACTCATGTCCATAAATTAAGGATAATTCGGAGTCACGCGGAAATCGAACTCTAAAATAAATATATCACCTGTAAAATCACTACACACATCTTCAAGAATCATATGCAAATTTCAGGAAGTAACCAGATGACACCGATGGTACGTCACAATGACGAGAGCGTAAGAGAGTGATATATAAAGAATACAGGCAAAGAAGTAAAATTGTTCGCAGGCGCTTTATAAGCATTCGGTGCAATAACGAAACACAAAGGACGCATTTGGATGATTTTTTACGTGGCAGAATTATTGGCCTTCTGGAATGTGGGCGTACCAACTGGAAGTTTCAAACGAACTTGGAATTGCCCAGAGTGTCATCTCCAGGCTTTGGCAACGATTGCAAGATGATGGTAATGTGAGTAGACGTTACAGCACAGGTCGCCCCAGAGTTACAACGCCGAATAAGGACCGGTATTTGGCAGTTACTGCCAATAGAAACAGGCAGAGCACAGCCTCAGACCTGTCTCGTCAGCTCTCTTCAGCCACTGGTACGACAATTTCAAGGCAGACCGTGTACAGACGCTTAGGGCAGATTGGTCTATATGCTCGTAGACCTGTGAGATGCGTTCCACTTACTGCAACTCACTGTCGCCTGCGGTTAGCCTGGAGTAGAGAGCATGCATTGTGGACACTGCAACAGTGGGCTTGTGTGATGTTTTCCGACGAGTCCAGATTTAGCTTGCAGTCTGATTCTCGCCAGACTTTCATATGGAGAGCTCCAGGTACCCGTTACCACCAACAAAAACATCATTGAACGACACTGCTACGGTGGTGCAGGAGTGCTCGTTTGGGGTGGAATTATTCTGGGTTCCAGAACTGACCTGCATGTTCAAATTGGAACCATGACAAGGCAAATCTATCGGGACGTCATTCTGGAACAACATGTACGTTTGTTTCGGGGCGCCATGGGCGCACAATTTGCGTTTATGGATGACAACGCCCGCCCTCACCGTGCAAACATGCTTGGCCGACGAGTTGCAGTCCGTCAACCTCCTCCTACATGTCTACCGGAACTTTGGAGAGCATTGCGTTTTGAGTGGTGTAATATCCCCCAAGATCAGATCGATAATTTGATACTCAGATAGTATGGGAGACATACAATGTATTAACAACCATACCAACCATGTAATATTGGTTTTTTTGTAAATAGGTTTTTTTTTTTGTACAAAACGGATATATCCATTTCTGCAGTAAACCAGTTAACCGCTACAGTGGCATAACATGAAATATTAAAAATAACTGTAAATAAAAATTAATTTTAAACGATAGAAAAAGAAGTTTTTCCTCAGATACGCTTCATCTGTACGTTTTTCAAGAGCTACAGAGGCAATGAAAACCGAACATGGGTAAAAGTTTTAATTCATGTGATAAAAATGCCTAAACTTTATCAGGTTTTTCTACAGAATTATGATATAAGGTGCAATAGCATAGATCGTGCAAGTTCATGTTTAAGTATACAATGTTGGTACATGCACTATATTTAAGCTTGGAAAAAAAATTGTTTTTCAACTCATCGATAAAGTAAAATCCTTATTGTCTTCAATCTGTAGTTATGAGTTGAGTCATAAGCCAGAAATTCAAAACGAGACTAGCTGAGTACAACCCATTCCGTTATCCGAATATCCGTTTCTCTCTGCCAATTTCTCACTGTAAGGGCACTTTGCTGCTGAAAATGAAAGTGATATGCTTTTATAGGTTATATTACAGAAGCAATAGGAAAGGGAGTTTAACTCAAAATTTAACTTTTAATAAAATTAACATAATCCTCACAACAAAGAGGTTCTTCATGGCTGGCTTACTTTGTATTTTGGTGGTTACGGGGAATACCCGTTATCAGGTTCAATGTTCCGTCTTACTTTCTTCGGGAACATGCAAGGACCTGACTCAGAACAGAGAGCTTACT